TTTAAATTTACTTGGAAAATAAACCCATTAAGAATTGATCTTTTTTTTTTTTTTTTTTTTTTTTTTTTTTTTTTTTTGACAGGCAGAGTGGACAGTGAAAGAGAGAGACAGAGAGAAAGGTCTTCCTTTTGCCATTGGTTCACCCTCCAATGGCCGCCACGGCTGGTGTGCTGCGGCCAGCGCACCGCGCTGATCCGATGGCAGGAGCCAGGTGCTTCTCCTGGTCTCCCATGGGGTGCAGGGCCCAAGCACTTGGGCCATCCTCCACTGCACTCCCTGGCCACAGCAGAGAGCTGGCCTGGAAGAGGGGCAACCGGGACAGAATCCGGCGCTCCGACCGGGACTAGAACCCGGTGCGCCAGTGCTGCAAGGTGGAGGATTAGCCTATTGAGCCACGGCGCCGGCCAAGAATTGGTCTTAATGAAAATGCTTTTTGCCCAGTAAAAATGTATATGGATATAATTGGACAGGACTAGCTTCTATATAGAAAAATGGATAACAGAATGAAATTGACTTGAATTACAGTCATTCTTAATATTATATCAAAGAAAGGATAATCAATGATTTTGTGCTTTTCATTAACATGTTCGTATTAACAGGCATGGAGTCAACTGTTCCTAAGGCTTAAAACAGTCAGTCAGGGTAGCCCCTACCTGGTTCAGATGGTAGAATTGTAAAAGTGTTTTCTGTTTGTTACAATTTAGTCTGAGAGGTAACATAAAATATAAAAAATATCAATAGTAAATTCCACAGCAGTAGAACAAAGAAGGTGACAAGAGTATGAATAAAGCTGGTGCCAATGAAGATGGAGAGGAACAAACTCATGAGATATCTGGAAGAAAAGTTACTAAGATTTTGTGATTGAATGGGACGTGTTAAAGACATGGGGGGTTTTGACTAGTCAGTTATTAGCTGATTGTGTCATTTGCATGATAAGAAATATGTGAGGAAGAAGTGAGGAATTCATTTGACATGTTGAATGTATGGTGAATAGGAGTTGGAGTTGACCTAAAGGGAGTTGTAAATATGGACCTGTAGCTTAGTAGGAAGATTTGGGCTGGAAGTCCGGATTTGAGAGTCATTGCTTACTTGTCTCTCTCTTTTTGTCTGTGTGTATCTTTGTCTCCAGAGTTCCAGCATTGTATTCATATCCTTTATCACTTCCTCTCTGTTTCTCTCCCTGTCTCCCATTCCCTCCACCTTCCCCATTTTTCTCTTTGATAGATTATTGCTTGGCTGCGTCCTCTATAATATATGATAGGTACAGACAGTATCTAAAGTTTCCTGTACATACAGACTGTATAAACACTGTGTGAAATAATATAGGATAAATTAATAAAATAAGAGGAAAAATGAAAGATGGAGAGAACACAGTGATGAAACCTAGAGGAGTACTGATTCATTCCTATATGAAGTAATAGAATATGCACAGGTGACAGAGAAAATAGGCAGGGTAACCCCAAAAGAGTAGTGTTTCAAAGTGTTAAGGAGGAGAAAGTTTTAAGTAAGAGTGGCCAATTGAGTTAAATTGAAGTTAAAACTGAATAAAAGAGTTTTCTTTTGGGTTTCTGTATTGTTGTTGGGTATCAAAATTGTGATTAGAACAGTTTATTATGGGATTAAGACTAAGCTATTACAGTGGGTTGAGGAACAAATGAGGAATACAAAAATAGAAATATCACATGTGGACTACAGACTTTAAAACTTATCCCTTGAACAGTGGAGGATAATTACAGCTTTGTGATTTAAGGAATTATATGATTGAAAGGAGTATTCTTGGGAACTTTGATACTAGCATACACAATCAGTTACCATGGGGTCAAAATGGCAATGCAGAGACCAGTTACTAGGGTAATGAAAAGATAAGGCTGACAAAGATTCTACAGCAAAAAATCCTGCTGTTCCCTGAAAGGCAGCAGCACTGAGGGTTCTTGGGAGGGATCTGAAATCAGTGGCAAGTTCGGAAATCAAAGAAAGGAATTGGTTGGGAAAAATGATGATCAACCTTTGAATTAAGTTTGATTTAAATGCAGAACATGAAAGATCTAGCAGTCAGAAACTATAGCTTCTGAAAATGGTAATGACTTAGTATTAGAGATCTAGTGTGGTATCTTAGAAAAAGTTTCTGGTCATAAAAGTAGGGACTAACGGAAGTATCTTATGAAAGCAGAGATTAATTTTTTAAGATTTATTTATTTATTTATTTGAAAGAATACACAGAGAGAGGAGAGTCAGAGAGAGAGAGATCCTCTATCTGGTGGTTCTTTCCGCAATTGGCTGCAATGGCTGGAGCTGGGTTGATCCAAAGCCAGGAACCAGGAACTTCTTCCAGGTCTCCCACGTGGGTGCAGGGGCCCAAGGACTTGGGCTATCTTGTACTGCTTTACCAGGCCACAGCAGAGAGCTGGATAGGAAGTGGAGCAACCGAGTCTCAAACCGATGCCCATATGGGATGCTGGTGCTTCAGGCCAGGACGTTTACTCACTGCGCCACAGCGCTGGGCCCAGGAGAGATTCTTAACTTGGGTTGTGTGTAAGCTTCAGGGAGGTCTGCGCTTGATCTTAGCCAAAAGGCCGAGAAGCGATCAGGGAGGTCTGAAATGATATAGAAAACTTGGTAAGTGTATGTTTTGGGGAAAGCAAGTTTTGTAGCCTTCGTGTGATTCCCATAGGATCTGTGACTCAAAGGTATCGTTGCTGGAGAATGAAGCAGGTGACTGATCATAGAAACAAGACTAAACACCAGGACCAGAGAACCAAGATAAAACTAGAATCAGAAGGTGCAGAAAATGACAACTGAGGGAAAGATGGAACTATGAAACTTGACATACTTGTAAAAAAAAAAAACTTAAAAAGGTACAGATTGACGTTTTATTTATTTATTTATTTAGTAGAATTTTTATTTATTTGACAGAGAGAGACAGTGAGAGAGAGAGAGACAGAGAGAAAGGTCTTCCTTCCGTTGGTTCACTTCCCAAATGGCCGCTATGGCTGGCGTGCTGCGCCGATCTGAAGCCAGGAGCCACGTGCTTCTTCCTGGTCTCCCACGCGGGAGCACTTGGGCCATCCTCCACTGCCCTCCCAGGCCACAGCACAGAGCTGGACTGGAAGAGGAGCAACCAGGACTAGAACGAATGCTTATATGGGATGCCGGCTGCCGCAGGCAGAGGATTAACCTAGAGCACCATGGCGCCGGCCCCTGATGTTTTATTTATACCACCAGAAAATACTCTGTATTATTTAGACCATGCAGTCTGCAGTGTATCAATTGATCACAATCATGATGATCTAAAAATTAAGAATTATGATGTGTAGACTCCGTCACTGTCAAAGAAAATTTTTCATAGTACATGTAGAATGATTTTAATCCAGAAGGCTAACATATTTTAGTATATAAAAGACATGTAATGTACATTATCCAGAATGACATGTTATCAAGCATTTCAGCTCTTTGTGAAATTTGACAAAAAATTTCTCATTATTACTGCAGGTTTTTGTGCTTAGTTGAAATAGTAGGTTTATACCGCATAAAGGATTCTATTTCTCATGTAGGCCATTTGAGTTTGGCATTTTTCTTAAAGATCTCCTAATAGAGGATTTTGGCAGATATTGTCAAGGCTTTAGATTAAAGACAAAATTATAGTAGTGCCCATAAAATAATTGGGATCTCTTTAGACAAATTATGACATCTCTGTTTTGGATGTGGTCATTTCCGAGAGTGCTTTTTCCCCATTTGATAAGGTAAGTGTTTGCTAAGGTGATAGACACCTTGCATATACCCTTCTTGTGATCAAGTATCGTTTTAGTAGTGTCAAAATTCCTAGAAGAACTAATAATGCATAATGAATTAAAAAGACACACTTATACATGTTTTTACAACTAAGGTAGGAAACCACCATGTGTTTTAGTTATTTAATCATTTTTAATTGTTTTAATTTGGTTTCTATTTTTTCCTAATGCATAAAAAGTAAAATGAACTATTTTTTACTAATGCTAGTACAAAAATTTCTGTTACATCTTTACTACATGAATTAAATTAGAAGTGATAGATAATTTATTTTAGCCAGTCTTTTATGATGATGGATTAGATAGTCTTGTGTGTGTGTGTAGGGGAGAACAACTTAAAAAGGATTGGTGTTCACATTATAAAGGAGGAAAGGAAATGAGAGGGCTTCATGCTTCTGTGGCTAATTTCTTTCTGCAGCATGTGCTTTTTCTCTGCTTCCAGCCGTCATTTCCTTGCATAACTTTTAATGGAATCTGAATTTCTAAGAACAAATAAAATTTTGTTCCGTTGGGATTTAAGATGGTTCATGTTATTATGGCTGCCCTCTTTTTATTTCCATTAGGTTAAAATAGGATTTTCAGTAAATGTGTACTTCTATAATCTGTAACAGTGCTGTCTAATAAGGATATAATGTAAACCACATATACAATTTAAAGTTTTCTGGCAGCCACATTAAAAGAAGTGAAAACAGGTAAAATTAATATTTTGTTACCTCAATAAGTTCAAAATATTATTTTAACATATAATTAACACAAAACATCAAGGTGTTATGCCTTTTTATTTGATATTAAGTCTTTGAATTCAATTTCTAATTTATACTTAAAACCTGTCTCAATTCAAAGTTGCCCCGTTTCAGGTGCATGGTAGCCCCATTTAGCTAAATGGCTACCCTATTGAATAGTGCAGATCTGTACACTCAGAATGAATTCTTAGTATCTAGACGAATGGAGAGATAAAAGGAGATATCTATGTAATGAATTTGATTTGATGAGGCTTATAAGTAGTTATCCAAACCCAGTTCAGCAATCATCTTTATATAAAGCAATACTGGGCTTTTTTACTTGTTGGAAAGTTAATTGGAGGAGATATGCAGGCTAAATGAAACTTTGACAGTTTAGTTGCCCGCAATAACTGTGTTGTGTGATTGCATTATTTTTATAATATATACATGTTCGTGCCTCCATGAAATTTCAATATGTATCTGTAACCTTTAGCATAAATGCAGTTCCAACTACAACGAAGATTTTGTGCTACAGCTAGAGAAGGAATTGGTCCAAGCTCGACTGAGTGAAGCCGAGTCTCAGTGTGCACTGAAGGAGATGCAGGATAAAGTCCTGGATATAGAGAAGGTAAGAAAGAAGCTACACACATGAGTCACTCCCAGATTAGAGGAGACATGTGATAGGTATTTTTAAAGTATTTATTCAACAGTTGAATTGGACTTGGTTTTTTTTTTTTTTACCCATTAGAAAATATACATATCAGTGCTGAAGGAAGAAAAAATATTTTTAAGATTGCCAGTTATTCTTTGTTGCTTCCATACTAATCAGGGCATCATATTTAAGGATAAAGGTGGAGGCCAGCGCTGCGGCTCACTAGGCTAATCCTCAACCTTGTGGCGCCGGCACACCGGGTTCTAGTCCCGGTCGGGGCACCGGATTCTGTCCCGGTTGCCCCTCTTCCAGGCCAGCTCTCTGCTGTGGCCAGGGAGTGCAGTGGAGGATGGCCCAAGTCCTTGGGCCCTGCACCCCATGGGAGACCAGGATAAGTACCTGGCTCCTGCCATTGGATCAGCGCGGTGCGCCGGCCATGGCGGCCATTGGAGGGTGAACCAACGGAAGGAAGACCTTTTTCTCTGTCTCTCTCTCTCACTCTCCACTCTGCCTGTCAAAAAAATAAAAATAAAATAAAAATTAAAAAAAAAAAAGGATAAAGATGGAAATTAGAGCTCCTTTAGAGGGAAACAATTAGAATAATTTGAATAGAAGATTTAGATATTTGAGAGGAGAAACTTATCTGTCATGAAATTTTATAATATCTTCATGTAGAAGAGGCAGAATAAGATTAGTGCATAGATATTTCTTTTTAAGATTTATTTATTTATTTGAAAGAGTTACACAGAGAGAGAAGGAGAGGCAGAGAGAGAGAGGGAGGGAGGGAAGAAGGGAGGTCGGTCTTTTTTTTTTTTTTTTTTTTTGACAGGTAGAGTGGACAGTGAGAGAGAGACAGAGAGAAAGGTCTTCCTTTACCATTGGTTCACCCTCCAATGGCAGCCGCGGCCAGCGCGCTGCGGCTGGCGCACTGTGCTGATCCGATGGCAAGAGCCAGGTACTTATCCTGGTCTCCCGTGGGGTGTGGGGCCCAAGGAGTTGGGCCATCCTCCACTGCACTCCCTGGCCACAGCAGAGAGCTGGCCTGGAAGAGGGGCAACCGGGACAGAATCCGGTGCCCGACTGGGACTAGAACCCCGTGTGCCGGTGCCGCAAGGCAGGGGATTAGCCTAGTGAGCCGCGGCCTCCGCTGGTTCACTCCCCAGTTGGCTGCAACAGCCAGAGCGCAGCCAATCTGAAGCAAGGAGCCAGGAGCTTCTTCCTGTTCTCCCATGCAGGTACAGGGACCCAAGGACTTGAGCCATTTGCCAGTGCTTTCCCAGGCCCAGCAGAGAGCTGGATTGTAAGGAGCAGCCGGGACTCGAACCAGCACCCATATGAGATGCCAGCACTGCAAGCAGTGGCTTTTACCCACTAAACCAAAGTGGTGGCCCCAGTGCACAGATATTTCAGGGAATATTTCATCGGAATGTAATTGTTAAAACTGTCCAAGCTACAGGGTAGTGGGTAAAGCCACCCACCTGCAGTGCTGGCATCCCATTTGGGTGCCAGTTTGAGTCCCAGCTGCTCCTCTTCCGATCCAGCTTTCCACTACAGCCTAGGAAAAAAAATGGAAGTTGGCCCAAGTGCTTGGGCCTTTGTACCCACATGGGAGACCAGGAGGAAGCTGTTGGCTCCTGGCTTCAGATCAGCCTGGCTCCGACCACTGTGGCTACAGTGGCCAGAGCTGCACAGATCGGAGCCAGGAGCTAGGAGCTTCTTCTGGGTCTCCCACACAGGTGCAGGTGTCCAAGCACTTGGGCCATGTTCTACTGCTTTTCTAGGCCATAGCAGAGAACTGGATCAGAAGTGGAGTAGCTGTGACTTGAACCAGCACCCATATGGGATTTTGGCACTGCAGGTGGAGGCTTTACCCACTATGCCACAGTGCCAGCCCCTAAATAAATCTTAAATTAAAAAAAACTGCCCAAATAAAATAAATAGCCTCAGAATGAGTACCCCTTTTCCTGAGATAGACTTAATTTGTAGAAGCTAACTTAACCTCTTTTTAAGGATATTAAAGAATGTGAAGAATAAGTAGTAGAAATAGAAAAACTTTTGGTTTCTCTTTTAGATTTGAGAGTCTGTGTTCTAGATCATAAATTATGACCCCCTTTTTCCTTATTTGTAAAATCATTGAAAGCCTGGGCATATGTTCTTTATACCTTTCTACCCCTAGGTATTTTTTTTTAAGATTTATTTTATTCATTTATTTTTAAGATAGAGAGTTACAGAGAAAGAGGAGGAGAGACAGAGATCTTCAGTCCACTGGTTCACTCCCCAAATGGCCACATCAGCCAGGGCTGGGCCAGGCCAAAACCAGGAGCCAAAAGCCAAGAGCCAGGAGCTTCTTCCAGATTTCCCACATTGGTGCGACAGCCCATGTATTTGGGCTGTCTTCTGCTGATTTCTCAGGCACTTTAGCAGGAAACTGGGTTGGAAATGGAGCATTGGGACATGAATTGGCACCTATATGGGATGCCACAACACCAGCTCCTTCTTAACTACTGTCTTAATGAAATAGAACAAATGTAACTTCAATAAGTAGTAGAATATTTTGTTTAAAATTTCTTGTTATTATTTCATTTATTCTTTCATTTATTGAGGGGAAAAAGAAAATAGTAAGAATGCTGAGCCGGTGCCGTGGCTCAATAGGCTAATCCTCCGCCTTGCGGTGCCAGCGCACCGGGTTCTAGTCCCGGTCGGGGCACCAGATTCTGTCCCAGCTGCCCCTCTTCCAGGCCAACTCTTTGCTGTGGCCAGGGAGTGCAGTAGAGGATGGCCCAGGTGCTTGAGCCCTGCACCCCATGGAAGACCAGGATAAGTACCTGGCTCCTGCCTTCGGATCAGCGCGTTGCGCCAGCCGCAGCGCGCCGGCCACGGTGGCCATTGAGGGTGAACCAACGGCAAAAGGAAGATCTTTCTCTCTGTCTCTCTCTCTCACTGTCCACTCTGCCTGTCCAAAAAAAAAAAAGACTGCTGAAAGAAATCCCTAATCAAATATTTGATCTTTCACTTATGTGTATTCTGGGTTCCATGATTTAGATAAGAATCTGTGTCTTATATTGAGAAACATTTTGAATATTTGGATGAAAGAAATGCACTTGAATCTGGTTTTAACATGGATTTCTCAGCATATGAAGGAGATACCTGCTCTGCAGTGTATATTCTAGCATTAGTCACAATAGTCAAGACATGGAATTAACCCAGGTGTCCATGGATGGATGAATGGATAAAAAATGTGTATGTATGTGTGAGAAAGAGATGGAATATTATTTAGCCATGAGAATAATGAAATCCTGTCATTTACATCAAAATAGATGGAACTGAAATTATTATGTTGCTTGAAATAAACAAGATACAGAAATACAAATACTGCATAGTCTCTCTTATATATGGTAGTTTTGAAAAATAGTCAATCTGAACTTAAAGTAGTGATAACTAAAGAATGGGAAGTGTGGAAGGGATAGAGAAAGATTGGATAATGGGTAACAGAATACTGTGAGGTAGAAGTAATAGGTTCTAGTGTTCCACAGCACAGTGGGGAGACTGCAGATCACAGAAAAGTATTATATACTCTCTGAAGAATTGGAGGAGAGGGCTGGTAGACTCTAATCCTAGAAGAAGTGTGCTCCAGGAGGTGAGGATGTTGTTTGCCTGATTTGATCAGTGTATGCTATATGCACGTGTTGAAATATTTGCTCTGTGACCCATAAAGGTGTTCAAGTAATACATGTTAATGAATTTGGGGCCAGCGTTGTGGTGTAGCAGGTAAAGCTAAAGCCTGAGATGCCAGCATCCCATATGGGCACTGGTTCATGTCCTGGTTGTCCACTTCCCATCCAGCTCCCTACTAATGGCCTGGGAAAAAAACCGGAAGATGGCCCAAGTGTTTGGGCCCCTGCACCCATGTGGGAGACCCAGATAGGGCTCCTGGCTCCTGGCTTCTGCCTGGCCCAAGGCTGGCTGTTGTAATATCTGGGGAGTGAACCAGTGGATGGAAGATTTCTTATTCTCTGACTCTCTCTCTCTCTCTCTCTCACTCTCTCTCTCTCTCTCTCTCTTTGCTCTTTCAAAATAAACAAAAAATTCCTTAAAAAAAAGAGAAATGTTTTTAAATTAAAATTGATTTATTAAGGGATGTATTGTTACTCACATTGCAGAGTAGAAAGGAAATTGAAAGATTGTATTATCTCACTAGGCTAATCCTCCGCCTAGCGGCGCCGGCACACCGGATTCTAGTCCCGGTTGGGGCGCCGGATTCTGTCCTGGTTGCCCCTCTTCCAGGCCAGCCCTCTGCTGTGGCCAGGGAGTGCAGTGGAGGATGGCCCAGGTACTTGGGCCCTGCACCCCATGGGAGACCAGGAAAAGCACCTGGCTCCTGGCTCCTGCCATCGGATCAGCGCGGTGCACCGGCCGCAGCGCGCCGGCCGCGGCGGCCATTGGAGGGTGAACCAACGGCAAAGGAAGACCTTTCTCTCTGTCTCTCTCTCTCACTGTCCACTCTGCCTGTCAAAAAAAAAAAAAAAAAAAAGAAAGATTGTATTATGGTTAATTTCATGCAGCATCTTTTTTCTTTCCTTCTAGCCATCTTCTTAATGCATATGCAACAATTTTCTAATTATTCAGTTGAGACATCACAGAATGTGTACATTGGTGAGAATAACTTTATTCCACAGTCCTCAGAGGCTGAAATCTTGTCCACCATGATATGTTTTAGAGAGAGGAACTTCCATAGAATTAAGTCTTAAAATCTGTACTCAAGGAACATTCCCTAGTAACTAATTTTGGATCTCTTGGTTATTCTTCAAGCAGTTTGATTCTAGGCTACCCAGGCGGGTCTTTCAGTGTGATAGGACACTAATCTAAATCTTGTATCTATGAAGCATGTATTTAGATCACCTTAGTATTAATTTTCTTGACTATTGAAGTAAGTAGTAACTAATACATCAAGAGTTGACTCTCGTTTCCCAAGATGACATGCTGAGAAATCACAACAATAAAAAGATTAAAAAAAAAATTTTTTTAAATGTAAATAATGGGGGCCGGCGCTGTGGTGCAGTAGGTTAATCCTCCGCCTGTGGCACCAGCATCCCACATGGGCACCGGTTCTAGCCCCAGCTGCTCCACTTCCAGTCCAGCTCTCTGCTGTGGCCTGGGGAAGTAGTACAAGATGGCCCAAGTCTTTGGGCCCCTGAACCCACGTGGGAGATCAGGAAGAAGCACCTGGCTCCTGGCTTTGGATCAGCACATTTCTGGCCATTGCAGCCATTTGGGGAGTGAACCAACGAAGGGAAGACCTTTCTCTCTGTCTCTCTCTCTCACTGTCTGTGACTCTACCTCTCAAATAAAATAAATGAAATCTTTTAAAAATTAAAAATAAAATGTAAATAATGTTCATGCTTTTCTTTGAGTCCTAATCAGAAGTTAGTAAGCTTGTTGCCATGTTAAAAACATTTATTTCTTATAAAAATGGGGAACAGTGTTTATTCTTTATGTCCTACAAATCAGAGGCATATGGCAACATATCATTGCCCATAACTTTGTACAGTCCCTTTTTAGTAAGATGGTACAATAGAAATCTGTAATCTGCTGACTCTAACAAACATGTAAGAAAATGTTTGTGGACTGTCAAGTTAAGTTACTAATTAAGGTAATATCCAATAGAAAAATCTAAAAAAAAATCACTTCAAAGGAGCAGGGAAAAAATTGGATATTTTCCTTTTCTCTTACCTGAGATGTTGCTTCTAAAAGTGGATATATATCATGAACCCAGGTAATTACAGTTTCTTTACAAGTAATAAACACTTCTTTGTTCTGGGGAAAAAAAATGGGGAATAAAAAAAAAAACCAAAAAATGTGTTTCAATAAATTTTTCTTTTTTTAAAAGATTTATTTATTTATTTGAAAGACAGTTATAGAAGGCAGAGAGAGAGAGAAGTCTTCCATCTGTTGGTTCACTCCCCAAGTGGCCACAACAGCTGGAGCTGGGCCAATCCGAAGCCAGGAGCCAGGCACTTCTTCTGGGTCTCCAGTGAGGGGCCCAAGGACTTGCGCCATCTTATACTGTTATCCTAGGCCATAGCAGAGAATTGGATTGGAAGTGGAGCAGTTGGGACTCAAACTGGCACCCATATGGGATGCCAGCATTGCAGGCGGCAGCTTTACTCAGTGCACCACAGTGCCGGCCCCTAAATTTTCATTTTAATTGTATTTGAAAGGCACATAGAGATCTTCTATCTACTGGTTCATTCCTCAAATACCCGTAATGGCCAGAGTTGGGTCAGGAGCCCAGAACTCAGTCCCAGTCTCCCACAAGATGGCAGGGACCCAACTGCTTGAGCCATCACTGCTACTTCCCAGGGGGCACATTAGCAGGAAGCTACAACTTGGACTCAAACTCTGGCACTCTGATATGGGATGTGGTTTTCCTAAGTGGTGTCTTAAGCACTGTGCCAAATGCTTGCCCATAAAAAACATTTTTAATCTTGTTGATCTGTAACTCTAATTAGTATTTTATTAACAAAGCAGAATTGGACATTATGCTCCCAAAATTAAGTATAATTACTTTCACACATTGCTAATGAAACTGTAAACTGATACAGCTGCTTTGGGAAACTCTGGAAGTTTCTTAAAAGTTAAATGTAAAATATTTAGTATCTGAGCCAGAAGTTCTCTCAATTATATACTTAACTGAATTGAAAACCCGTCTGTATAAACATGTTTACACAGGGGCCTGCATGTGGCACAGTTGGTTAAGTCGCTGCCTGCATCCCATATGAGTGTCGGTTCAGGCCCTATCTGCTCTGCTTCCGATCCAGGTCCCTGATAATGCACCTGGGTGAGCATTGAAAGATGGCTCAAATCCTTGGGCTCCTGCCACTCATGAGGGAGACTCTGGTGGAGTTCCAGCCTGCTGGCTTTGGTCTGGCCCAGTCCTGGTTGTTGTGGTCATTTAGGGAGTTCACCACTGGGTGGAAAATCTCTGTGTCCCTCCCTCTTTCTCTTCCTTTTAAATAAATAAGTAATCTTAAAAAAAGAAAGTTTGGGGCTGGCACTGTGGCATGGTGAGTAAAGCCGTCACTTGCAGTGCCAGCATCCCATATGGGTGCCAGTTCGTGTCCTGGCTGTTCCACTTCCAATACAGCTCTCTGCTATTGCCTGGGAAAGCAGTGGAGGATGGCCCAAGTGCTTGGGCTCCTGCACCCACATGGGAGACCCAGAAGAAGCTCCTGGCTCCTGGCTTCAGATTGGCACAGCTCTGGCCATTGTGGCCAATTGTGGAGTGAACCAGCAGATGGAAGACCTCTCTTTTTCTCCTTCTCTCTCTGTGTAACTCTGACTTTCAAATAAATAAATAAATTTATTATTCATAATAGCCAAAAAGTGTAAACAACTCAAATTTCTGTTAACTGATGAATGGATAAATAAAACATGTTATATGCATAGAATGAATGTTATTTAGCATTTAAAGGGAATGAATTTTTTTGAGGTTTATTTTTTATTTTACTTGAAAGGCAAAGTTACAGAAAGGGGAGGAGAGACAGAAAAAGAGATCTTCTATCCACTGGTTCACTCCCAAAATGGCTGCAACTGCTGGGGCTGGACCAGGCTGAAGCCATGAGTCAGGAGCTTCTTCTGGGTCTCCCACATGGGTGCAGGGGCTGAGCACTTGGGCCAGCTTCCATTTATACAAAATGGCCAGAGTAAGCAAATCCATGGAGATAAGAATTAGATTAGTAGCAGCCAGAGGCTCAGGGAATGTGGAATGTAGAATGACTACCAATGAATATAGGGTTTATTTGAGGATTAATAAAAGTATTCTGAAATTAAATCATGATGATGACTAGACAACCCTGTGAATACTTTAAAAACCACTTGTGTACTTTAAGGTTTATTTCAATACAGCTATATAAAATAAAGTATAATGTATGGGACAAAATAGCTGTTATTTATTCTATTTCATGAATTCAAAAATCCTAAATCAAATTTTTTCTTGCTTTAGAGGAACAACTCTCTTCCTGATGAAAACAACATTGCAAGACTTCAGGAAGAGCTCATTGCTGTGAAACTGAGAGAAGCAGAGGCCATTATGGGTTTGAAAGAACTCAGACAGCAGGTCAAGGATTTAGAGGAACACTGGCAGGTATGTCAATATAAGTTGTGTGCTTTGTAAAAACAGTAAAACCCAACAATTCCATTTGTGAGAGTGTGAAATAGCTGATGTCCAGGAGTAGAAAAGAGCTGTATTGAGAGCATTTATAAATTGAAAATACATATAAGCTATTTCTACCTTTTTAATTCTTATAATGAAATAGAAGATACAATGGAAATCAAGTTATATTTTTGTTATTGTTCGTATTCTTGTGCATTGCAAAACTTTTTGTAAAGAACTCTAAGAAAAATATTCCTTTTGGCCGGCGCCGTGGCTCACTTGGGTTAATCCTCCGCCTGAGACGCCGGCACCCCAGGTTCTAGTCCCGGTTGGGGCACCGGATTCTGTCCTGGTTGCTCCTCTTCCAGTCCAGCTCTCTGCTGTGGCCCAGGAAGGCAGTGGAGGACGGCCCAAGTGCTTGGGCCCTGCACCCGCATGGGAGACCAGGAAGAAGCAACTGGCTCCTGGCTTCAGATCGACACAGTGCGCCAGCTGCAACGCACCGGCCATAGTGGCCACTTGGGGGATGAACCAACGGCAAAAGGAAGACCTTTCTCTCTGTCTCTCTCTCTCTCTCACTGTCTAACTCTGCCTGTCAAAAAAAGAAAAGAAAAGAAAAATACTCCTTTTAAGTTTGAGTTTTTATCCCAGGTCTGGTATTTCCTGGCTTTGTGACCTTCCTGAAGTTACTTAATCACAAAATGAAGACAATGGTTTCTAACTTAAGATTTTCTGGGGATTAAATAAAATAACAAAAATTTTTTAATACAGTGCCAGCCTTGAAATAAGTGCTCAATACAATTAGCCCCTATTTTGATACTGAGAGTATTTGTTGCAAAATACTTTTTTTTTTAATGCTTCAGCGGCACTTAGCTCGTACTACTGGGAGATGGAAAGAGCCACCTAAGAAAAATGCTGTGAATGAGTTACAAGATGAACTGATGACCATTCGACTTCGAGAAGCTGAGACACAAGCAGAAATAAGAGAAATAAAACAAAGGATGATGGAAATGGAAACACAGGTAAGATGAGAAAGTCTGACAGTTTTTTTAAATTTTTATTTAATAAATATAAATTTTGAAAGTACAACTTTAGAATTATAGCGGCTTTCCCTCCCATAACCTCTCTCCCACCTGCAACTATCCCATCTCCCACTCCCTCTGATAGTTTTAAAATAAGTATCTCATTAGCAGATCAAAGATTTCTGCACAGATTGTGTTATCCATAGAATAAAGATAAAAGGCAAAAATATGAAACTGTCTAGACTGCAATTTTCTAGCCTAAATGAAGAAGCATAAAAATTGTTTTCATTGATTTCAGAAACTTAATTTTTGCTTTCAGCCATTCAACAAAGTTTAAGGAAGTTAAATTCTATTTGATTTTATCAGGTAACACTCCTGGGGTTGCCTTGTTGCACAATTTGAGAGGGAACATGTTGAGCAAAATTTCTCAACCTCTACACTTAACGTTTTGGGCTAGTAAAGTCTTTGTCTTATGGAGCCAGCCTGTGGATTGTAGGATGTGTAGCAACATCCCCGGCCTCTATCTATTAGAATCTCCTGCCTCACACTGTGATGACAAGAATGCTTCCAGCCGTTGCCAGATGTCCTCTGGGGGGCACAGTTGCACCTAGTGAGAACCACAGGTGTAGAATATAATGTGAATGATGCTTCCTGTAGTCAAACTCTAAGGTAACCCTTTCTTCAGAAGCCACACTTTTCTCTAATAAACCCTATCTTAAACACACATGAAGTCTGCAAAGACATTTTTATAAAATCCATTTGCATTGCAGAAGCACGTTTGTTTTCTAGACAAGAGTGTGGGGCTGTGTTCCGTATGTAGTTGTCCTTGGTATCCTACAGGATTGGTTTCAGGAACCCCAAGGAGTAGCAAAATCTGCTGATGGTCAAGTACCTTATATAAAGTGGCAGAGTATTTTAGATGACCAACATGTATTTGCCCAGAAACTTTAAACAATATCTAAATTACTTGTAATGCCTCATAAAATATAAACCCTGTGTAAAGAGTTTTTTTACTGTATTGTTTAGGGAATAATGACAGAAAAAAAAACTGTACATGTTCAGTACAGATGTAATTTTTTTCTCCAGATACTTTTGATTTACAGGGTTTTTGAATTTGTCCTCTGAATGTTACTCCATCCTCAGAATATTTATGAAGTCAGTAGAGGGCAGAGTTAACTCGGTGCCATTCTATATGTATTGCAGTGTACAAAATACTCATCCCACCTTGAACGTGATGAGTACATCATTTCTTTAAAATAAATATATCTTGTTTTACATTTTCAGGTTTATTTTCTTATATTTGTGGTGTAATTAAAAATAATATTGAAGAGATCTGGAAGAGTAGAAATCTAGATCTTATAATGGGAAGTTTTATTTTTATGATCAGAATTAATCTTAGTAAAGAAAAATGCAAACACAGATTTTAGGCCTTTGTTGAGGATTTATCTCACAGTTGAGTGGAGGTAAACTAATCAAATTCAATGAGCATGATTTTGAGAACTTGTGACAGAGCATTATCATAGCCACTAAAGAACTTAGATTTGAGAAATCAGATACGCCAGAGTCTGGCAAGCAGAGAGTTAGATTGTAATTACTGTGGAGAATACAAAGAGATTAATTCCAATTAGATGGTTTTGGGAAAGATTTCTAAGGAATTTTCATTTTAACCATGCCAGACAATTGAGTATGATATTGCTGGAAGTAATGATTTAAAGCACTGATCTCTAAGTGCCAGTCCTTGGAATGGTAATGATCCAGGGAGTTTTCTCATTGAAAAATGAGAAAAATAAATAATGATGTGGTAGAATGGTGATTGTGTAGAGCGTATGGTTATCTGGAGACTATTTTATCAGACAAGATCGGGCGCGTTCAGGGTGGTATGGCCGTAGACAAGACTATTATATCAAACACCCTTGTATTCACCATCCAGTTTTAGAGATTTGTTCATGTGGATATGGGTAACTCCAATTTTTTTTTAAGGACTTGTAGAACAGTTTGTTTAGTGAGTGGGCTTCCTTGAATTAAGTAAGCCACCCTCCTCTTGGTATTTGCGAATTTTTGCTCTTGAAAACAGCACTACTGTGAGCTTTCTTGCCTGTTTCCTTGAGTGTATTTCCAAGAATTTCTTAAGTACATTGATTCTTCTATTTCTTTGTGCCTTATTTGTTGACAGTCTGTACCTTATAGACTGCTTCTCAAAATAATATTTTTAATGTGTAAGAGAAAATGTATAGGATTTTAAAGAAAAATGGTTATATTAAGGTGGTTCTGAAAATACTAAGAACAAATTTGTGGGGCCAGTGCTGTGGCGCAGCAGATTAATGCCCTGGCCTGAAGTGCCAGCATCCCATACGGGCACTGGTTCAAGTCTCAACTGCTGTGTGGACTGCTTCCCATGTTGCAACATTCTCTCCTTTTTAATTCTAGCTATTATTATTACCAGACACTTGATCTTATTTATATGATTCCTTTAACATTTAATCCTACCTATTTGATCACTTTAACATTTTTTTTATTATTATTTTTTGACAGGCAGAGTTAGAGAGAAAGAGACAGAGAGAAAGGTCTTCCCTCCGCTGGTTCACCCCCCAAAATGGCTGCTACGGCTGGCGCGCTGCGCCGATCTGAAGCCAGGAGCCATGTGCTTCTTCCTGGTCTCCCATGCGGGTGCAAGGGCCACAGCAGAGAGCTGGACTGGAAGAGGAGCAACCGGGACAGAATCTGGCGCCCCGACCAGGACTAGAACCCGGGGTTATTTCATATATTTCATAAGTACAATTCCAAGAGATTTTCTCTGTCTTGTTTGAGATAGAGCTCTCATCTACCAGTTTATTCCCCAAATGCCTGCAACAGCCTGGGCTGGGATAGATCAGGCCAGGAGCCAGAAACTCAGTCCAGGTCTCCTATGTAAGTTGCAGGGACCAAACAATTCATGTCACCACCTAGTGCCCTCCAGGTATAGGCCAGCAGAAAGCCGAAATCAAGACCAAAGCTCGGACTCCAACATGGGATGTGGGTGTCCCAACCAGGATGGTAAACACTAGGCCAAATGCCTACCCTTCTCATTTTTTAGCAGTTTGAATGTGATATGTCTGTATGTGTTTTTTGCTTTGCCTTTTCTCTGACTTTCCCCTCTGTGGATTTCTATCTGCCAAGAATTTTGGAAAATTTTGGTCATTATTTTATGAAATATCTCTTTTGCTCATTCTCTCTTCTTTTGGGGTTCTAGTTACACATATCTTAGGTTACTCAATGCTTTCTAACAGTTCTGGGGTGCTTTTTTATCCTCTGACCTTTATTATTTTTTCTTCTTTGTTTTCTTCCACTTTCTATTGACTGCAATGTTTGTCCTGACATCATTAAGTTCACTGATTTTTTTTTTTCCCATCCACTTGTTCAAATGTTTTAGTGAACCATTGAAAGCATTACCATGTTTTTCATTTGTAGATTTTCACTTTTCTGCTAATATTACCGGTCTGATCTTGCTTATTTTTCACCTTTCCCTTGAGCCATTAGCGTACTCGTCAGAGTTACGTTTAAATACCTGTCAGATAATTTCAATATCTGTGTCACATAGAAGACTCGTTTTGTTGTTTTTTTTCATCTCTTGGTCATGTTTTGTTTTTTCTTGGCTTTTCATATGCTTTGTGATTTTTTTTTTTGTTGAATCTTCTATAGGACAATAGAGTGGGGGAAATGATATTTATATCTTGAAATGGACGCACTTTTCCTTCTGCTAAGCCTTTAATGTGGGAGACTTGAGTTCACATGCTCAGGAGATGGGCAAAGTTTGAGGTTTGTTTCTGTGGTTCTCCGCGATGTACCACAGGTTTCAAAGTACTTTAGCAGTGGAGGTTCGTTTGCCAGAATGTTTTTGTCATTGTCTTTAGGCTGTCCCTGTGCACAACACCTTGGACAAGGATCTGTCTCCAGCAGCATTCCCATCATATGGTACAGGGAGCTAAAGGGCCAGGGATGTTCCCTATTGTTCTGATAAAGCATTGGTCTTAGACAAGAATGTGTCCTTGGACTGTGGTGTTTGGCATTTTAGTGTATCTGCCCACCTTCATCTGTGGTCCTGGGCCCAAAACACAGTCCTCTCAGGGGTAGGCATGTGGCACAGTTGTTAAGATGGCCACTTAACAAGGCTGGCACTGTGGTGTAGGGGGTAAAGCCATATCCTGCTATGCCAGCATCCCATGTGGGTGCCAGTTTGAGTCCGTGCTGTTCCACTTCTGATCCAGCTCCCTGCTGATAAGCCTGCCTGGGAAAGCAGCAGAGAATGGCCCAAACACTTGGGCCCTTCCACCCACGTGGGAGACCCAGAAGAAACACCTGGCCCTTGGCTTTGGTCTGGCCCAGCCCTGACCATTGTGGCCATCTGGGGAGTGAGCCAGTGGTTGGAAGACCTCTCTCTCTCTTTCTCTCTCTGCCTCTGCCTTTCCCTCTCTGTAACTCTACCTTTCAAATAAATAAAGAAATCGGGGATGGGGTGGGGTGGAGATGGCCACCTAGGATGTCAACTTCCCATATCAGAGTACCCGGATTCCAGTCCCACTTCTGCTCTCCATTTCATCTTCCTACCAGTGCACACCTTGTGGGGCAGCAGGTGATGGCTCAAGTACTTGGGTGCCCATTTGTGGGACCTGGGTTGAATTCCTGGCTTCTGGCTTCAGCCTGGCCCAGCCCTAGCCATTAAGGCTATTTGGGGAGTAAACTACTGGATGGAAGATCTCTTGCTCTCTCTACTTTTCAAATAAAATAAATTTTATTTCCCTAACTGTGAAATATAAAACAGAGCTTCAAGGAGTTAACATTGAAGAATACACTTATTGTCATGGGATAGGAAGATGTCTTTTTTTTTTTTTTTTTTTGACAGGCAGAGTTAGAGAGACAGAGAGAAAGGTCTTCCTTTCCCTTGGTTCACCCCCCAAATGGCTGCTATGGCCGGTGCGCTGTGCCGACCCAAAGCCAGGAGCCAGGTGCTTCCTCCTGGTCTC